TTTATTTAAACCCGAAAAATACAATTAGATGACACCAACTGTAAACACTGGCTCGTCCGCCATTTCAAGCTGTTGCGTAACTGTCTACTTCGAAGAAAATAAGTAGGTCCGACGATTCCATTAAAGTGTGGCCAGGGGGGTACAGTTTCACGGCACACAAAACAATACGCTGGTTTCAGTCGTGTGGGATGGGATGAAAAAAACACAAGATCTCGGGTATTACATAATTGCACTGAATAAACAGTAGTTTGATTTCTTTGGACAGAATATTGTTATGTTGTAATGTTAAAGAAATACGAACGGCACCTACGGCTCCTTTCACAGACGAGTTCAATTCGCCTCTCGTCCCATGCCGGATTACGCAGTGTTTTCCGCAGAGCGAGAGAGTTCGATTTTAAATGGGTCATGGTAGAATGGAGATAACCCTAGTGTGTTTGAAAATCAGAGACATGCTTTACTGAATTGATGGTGACTAAATATTTCAATTGAAACCTCACGCTACACGTTCGTTTCCAATTGAAATTTAGTCGCCATCAATTTCAGACTAAATATTTCAATTGAAACCTCACGCTACGCGTTCGTTTCCAATTGAAATTTAGTCGCCATCAATTCAGTAAAGCATGAATTGATGGCGACTAAATATTTCAATTGAAACCTCACGCTACGCGTTCGGTTCCCATTGAAATTTAGTCGCCATCAATTCAGTAAAGCATGTCTCTGATTTTCAAACACACTAGGGTTATCTCCATTCTACCATGACCCATTTAAAATCGACCTACGGCTCCTTTCACAGACGAGTTCAATTCGCCTCTCGTCCCATGCCGGATTACGCAGTGTTTTCCGCAGAGCGAGGGAGTTCGATTTTAAATGGGTCATGGTAGAATGGAGATAACCCTAGTGTGTTTGAAAATCAGAGACATGCTTTACTGAATTGATGGTGACTAAATATTTCAATTGAAACCTCACGCTACACGTTCGTTTCCAATTGAAATTTAGTCGCCATCAATTTCAGACTAAATATTTCAATTGAAACCTCACGCTACGCGTTCGTTTCCAATTGAAATTTAGTCGCCATCAATTCAGTAAAGCATGAATTGATGGCGACTAAATATTTCAATTGAAACCTCACGCTACGCGTTCGGTTCCCATTGAAATTTAGTCGCCATCAATTCAGTAAAGCATGTCTCTGATTTTCAAACGCACTAGGTTTATCTCCTAACGAAATAAAACACTGACATTACATGTATTTTAAGGTGTCCTCAGAAAGAACATTTGGTAGGATCAACCGTGCAAAGGGTAATGGCCTTAAGCGTATTTTTTTAATGTTTCTTGAAAACATGAGGTTAGTAAATCATTCATGGGAACAGCCATTTTGGGAACTCAATATACTTGTTCAGAGGTTTATCATATCATGATATTTAAGACGGGGAAAAATGACTTGGCTATGGTTATGATCGTTTTCAACTTTAGATGCATAGCAATTGATATTGAATTTGGATGGTTGTCAGGGAGACTGGGGACTTTGGATGCCAGTCGTCATGGACACAACAGTTTCCTGTTTTTATTTTAAACGACTGAAACGGCTTCTAAGAAATGGCTCACTTGTAATGCAAACTAAATGAGAAAAACACATATTTTCAGGGGCAAAAGTTATTATTCTTTAACGAATTTTAGGATTTTGTAAATCTTAGGAAGCGCCTTTTAACAAAAAGTTCTACGAGAGACTGACTTTTGGTTTTACGCTGCTTTTAGCAATATTCCAGCAACATCACGGCGTGGGACACCAGAAATGGGTTTAACAAATTGTGCCCATCTGGGGATTCGAACCCGGGTCTTCGGCGTGACGAGCCAACGTTTTAACCATTAGGCTGAACCACCGCCCCGGTTCTATAGAGAGGATTAGTCTAAAGGTATTTTGAGAGTACATCTCCACACAATACATACATGGAGCAAATTTATTACAGCCCATGTGGGTATTGGAAAGGCGGGGACGCCATTCCGAAACTCACCAAAGCCGCTCGAGTCTAAGAAGAGTAAGCCGGCTTAAAAAACAAGCTATCTGGCAAGTCTACCTGCCGGCGCCTCGGTACATCCCGAGAAGAAATTTGACATTTCGACGCCGAATCGCGTGCATCAAGCTGACCTCCTGTTTCTACCTCATGATAGGGTGAGCCGTAAAACCTACAAGTACGCCCTGACAATCGTCAGTGTCGCAAATCGCTACAAAACAGCCGAATCGTTGACGACGAAAGAATCGAACAAAGTCGCCAAAATCTTACAACGTATATACAAACGCAGTCGCTTGACCTTTCCTGCCATATTGCAAATCGATCCCAGGATGCGTATTCATGGGAGCCGTGTCACAGCTGCTGGCCCAGCCATCGTCAAGAGATTCAATCGCACCTTAGCCGAACGCCTATCTCACACCAGTACACACAGGATTTAATTAATCCCGGAAACAAAAATACGGAATGGGTCGTACGCTTGCCGCAAGTGGTGGCTGCCACCAACAACGAAGTCACCAGACTCTTGGGCAAGAGACAACGTCGGCCAGGTCGACATCAAAGACGGTGAACCGATCTTGTACTACTTGAAAGACGGGCCCAATAGACCATTTGTCAAGGAAGAATTACAAAGTGTACCTCACGACACAGTGTAACGAGTCACCTATCGATCACCCATTGTTTGATAGTTCTCATGATTTGTCAGTTTGTGAAGAAACTATTAGTAGCGGTATGCTGGGAATATATATGTAGATGCAAACGCGCATCATGTAGCATGAATCAAGCCCTAGCTAGCCCGTCAATATGTCAGAGTTGTATTTCTCGTGATATCAGCCATCAACTCCAATTTCACAGCCTACATTCGTCATGTTCTCTCACCGAATTTAACATCCAGCTATCAGAGCCATGGTGGCTAAGCAGTCAGTGTAGGGTATCGAAGTGGTTGTTGCATGAACGTCTGGCCTACATGGCCTCCAGGTATCTAGGTCGTAAAAGTTTTGGCTATTACTGTGTTTCGAACTCTGGGCTTCAGTATTATGAACTAAACTCTGTTACCATCACACTATGAAACCCACTGACAGTATTTAGCGAATGAGAGCTACTTATCGATCCGAGCTGTACACCTGGCGATAGAGAGACGGTCCACCATCATTCCAGCCATATATTTACACTCCCGCGGGAGCAATGGATCGTAAAAAATATGACTTTGAGGGACCTGGTCCAAACCTATCATTACACATAGCCAGCCAGCCTGCCAGCCAGCTCAGCGAGCTGTAGATGAATAGTCGAGCCTGTGAACTGTGACCTGTCAACTCTGTCACACTCGCCCACAGCGCTCGCTCAACATAGACCAGGAAAATCGATTGCCAACTTAAACCGTGGTGACTCAAATCGCTAAACCGCTGGGACCAGCTTGCTTTCGTGCAGATTTCGTGCGATTTGTGAGTTTGACCGGCCTCTCAAGATTTCCCGAAACGACAAGTAAGGTTATCTGAGGCTCGCAGTTGGATGCAATCCCACGAGGGAGGAAGCTTGTGCATCGCATCTATCTATCTATTTCTTTCTCCCTCGATAGGGTTGTGACCACAGCGGATATTTGGTAAATATTTTTTCATGCTCTCAGCGGCTTGCTACTATGAACAAGTACGGCAATACGTTGGATTCTTAGCCTTTCGCCAGACTGACCCCATGCTCACTAAAAAAGTGAATATTTCCTAAAATACTCGACCGATTTTCGTGAAACGTTGCATGTATGTCCGTAGTAGTAGTATAGACAATAGCGGAACGGGATTAGGTTCTTCACAAAGCCTTAGTTAGGTTCATTAAGGCTTTGGGAAGGACTTGATCCCGTTGTGCTACTGTGTATACTACCCAACAACGGTCTCAACTCTCTTTTCCTTCAGTAAAGTCACTTTACATAGCTGTGTCATTCAAAAGTTGTATAAAGTCATAGTGAACTAAGACCTGGCAACTACAGGACTGATACGGCTGCAGTCAGATTTTATATCAATAAACGAAAACTGTGAAATGTTCACCAGAATTATTTCACGGTATTATATCACCGATGCAGCCTTATGTACATGTATGCATAATTTCAGTGGCCATAACACAATCAAATAGTTTCATTTTAGAACACTACTTGTGCACATTAAAGTCAAAATACACTATTAAGAATCTCTAGTTCAAGGGAAATAACTGTAATGAATTATTGATTCAGAATGTATAAACACAAAACACACACTATGAAAACACTTCAAACATACTTGTAATTTATCAAGGAATCAAACTCACAAGATTACATCCATTTTAAGAGCCGCAACTTACATCAAAAGTAACATGCATGGATTAACTTCCTTTTGGTACCTGATTATTTTCTCTATGTCCGGAGACTTAATAATACTTGTTCCCAATTTCTATATTCGTATTCCTATTGTATACAAACACAAGCAAAGATTAAGCCTTTCATGCTAAAGTATTTGTGCTTGATCGAAAAATATTCCATGTAATTGTGTGTTTATACAATTACATGTTTTTCACCTTTGAACTACATTTTTTTTCAATTTGCTAGCCGACTCCTGCAAAATGCAATGTTTTGTCTATATTTTTTGCTCTCGTATTTGTCGAAGAAAACTGCTCTACGGACAATCTGTTCAACAATCTGACAATTCTCAATCTCTCCAACAAACTTCAATGTTGGTTTCTTTATCAGAGATGAACGACATAACATGGAAGTATTGAGATGCCCGGACTTCACCGGACGTTTTGGTTAAAATAGCCTGAGATTGTGATCGCCTGCAACTAACCACGTGTAACAATGGCTGTCTGTTGCCATATAACAGCTTGTAAATTAATATTTCAGTTACAGATATCACAGTTAGTGCGACAATACTACCTTCACACTCATTTAGATACCGCATTTTCTGCCCTAATCATTGAAATCCATGAATGTCTATTTAATCTAGCAACTATCGCAGTGATGTAGATCCCCGTCTTGCTGCTTAATGAAGTGTGGCACCTGCATTGTTCTGTACATTAACATCGGCTCCAGCCTTTAGTAACACATCAAAACACGCTGTAGATTCACATCTTGCTGCTGTGTGGCGTGATGTGTCACCTGTATTATTCTGCACATCGATATCAGCTCCAGCCTTCAGTAACACATCAACACACTTTGCAGATTCCCATCTTGCTGCTCTGTGAAGAGGTGTGTCACCTGTGTTATTCTGAACATTAACATGAGCTCCAGCCTTCAGTAACACCTCAACACACTTTGTAGATCCTCGTTCTGCTGCTGCTCTATGAAGTGGCGTGTCACCTGTATTATTCTGCACATTAACATCAGCACCAGCCTTCAGCAACACATCAACACACTCTATTGGTCCCCATCCTGCTGCTGCTCTATGAAGTGGCGTGTCACCTCTATTACTCTGTACATTAACATCAGCTCCGGCCTTCAGTAACACATCAACACACTTTGTAGATCCCCGTTCTGCTGCTGCTGCATGAAGTGGTGTGTCACTTATATTGTTCTGTACATTAACATCAGCTCCAGCCTTCACTAACACATCCACACACTCTGTAGATCCCCACGTTGCTGCTCTATGAAGTGGTGTGTCACCTGTATTATTCTGTACATTTACATCAGCTCTAGCCTTCAGCAACGCATCAACACACTCTGTAGATCCCCACTCTGCTGCTGCTCTATGAAGTGGTGTGTCACCTGTATTATTCTGTACATTAACATCAGCTCCAGCCTTCAGTAACACACCAGCAACCTGTTTAGATCCCCGTCTTGCTGCTGCATGAAGTGGTGTGTCACCTGTATTACTATGTATATCAACATCAGCTCCAGCCTTCACTAACACATCAACACACTGTGTAGGTCCCCGTCTTGCTGCTCTATGAAGTGGTGTGTCACCTGTATTACCCTTTACATTAATATCGGCTCCAGCCTTCAGTAACACATCAACACGTTCTGAAGATCCCCACCACACTATTGCTGCATGAAGTGGTGTGTCACCTGTGTTGTTTTGTACATTCACATTAGCTCCAGCCTTCACTAATACATCAACACACTGTGTAGATACCGGTCTTGCTGCTCTATGAAGTGGTGTTTCACCTGTATTGTTGTGTGCATTAACATCAGCTCCAGCCTTCACTAACGCATCCACACACTCTGTAGATCTCTGTGTTGTTGCTGCGCTATGAAGTGGCGTGTCACCTGTATTGTTCTGTACATTAACATCTGCTCCAGCCTTCAGTAGCACATCAACACGCTTTGAAGGACTAACAATAGCTGCTGCTGCTCTATGAAGTGCTGTGTCACCTGTATTATTCTGTACATTGACATCAGCTCCAGCCTTCACTAACACATTAACATGCCTTGTAGAATCCCACCCTGCCGCTTCTGCTCTATGAAGTGGTGTGTCACCTGTACTATTCTGTACATTAACGTCAGCTCCAGACCTCAGTAACACGTCAATACTCTCTGTAGATACCCACTATTCCATCGATGGATCTCTTTTCGTGGATGATTTTAATATTTCTTGCCGTGGTAAGAACATGCGAACTATAGAGAGACAATTACAAATTTGTCTCAACAAAATTCATAAATGGTGTCTTGAAAACGGGTTTAAATTTTCGAATTCCAAAACCAACTGTCTACATTTTTGTAGGAAATACAAACCCCATAAAGATCCTGAATTATCATTAAATGGCACACCCATCAAAGTTGTCAAGGAAGCTAAATTCCTTGGTCTCATCTTTGATTCGCATTTAACCTTTCTGCCACATATCAAAAATCTAAAAGCCAAATGCCTGAAAGCACTCGACTTGTTGAAAGTTGTCTCCAGTTCAAAGTGGGGAGGGACCAAACCACCCTCCTTCATTTGTATAGATCACTGGTCCGATCGAAACTTGATTACGGCTCTATCGTATATGGTGGGGCCTGTAAAAGCAACCTCAAACTACTTGATTCTATCCATCACCAGGGTCTAAGACTTTGTCTTGGGTCTTTTCAGAACCTCTCCCATTGACAGTCTCTACGTTGAGGCCGATGAGCCATCTTTTAAAACTTCGCCGTATCAAATTGTCCCTACAATATATCACAAAGTTATATTCTAATGAATCCAATCCTGCTCACACTTGCGTTTTTAATCCTCTTTATGAGGACTTGTATAATAAAAACCTTCACTTGTTCCACCTCTTGGGATAAGAATCCAACAATATATTTCTCTGCTGCTGGCATTGAGTTGAAGAATATATCTCCTTTCCCGTCTTCTTTCTTCTCCTCCTTGGCAATTAGTGAGGCCACAAGTTGACCTAACACTGACACAGTTTAAAAAATCAGAAACTAACGAATTACAGTATAAACAAGAATATAATCAATTAAAGCATAACTATAATACATACAAATCCTTATTTACAGATGGGTCCAAGGATGGTGGCGCAGTGGCATGTGCCACTGTCATTGGATCCAGAACAATATCTTCTAGAATACCTGATAACAGCTCTATATTTACAGCAGAAGCAAACGCCATCTTAACAGCTCTTAAATATATTCAACGACATCCCAAACATAAACAATATATAATATTTTCTGACTCTCTTTCTTGCCTTCAGGCGATTAAAATCTCTCTTGCAAACATCCACTTTTAATTGAAATAATCGAGTTATATAATGATCTTGCTACTGGCCAATGCGACATCGTCTTTGTTGGTTACCCAGCCACGTTGGCATTTCTGGGAACACAATGGCCGATCTTGCTGCCACAGCAGCACTCAACAAATCTGTGACACCTCTTCTGATCCCATACTCTGATTATAAAGCCAGCATTAGAACATACATCCGCGATCTGATGCAAAGAAGTGGGATGCCCAAGTAGGTATCAATAAATTACATGCAATCAAACCAACTATCGGTTACACCTACTTGGGTTGTCAGTCCAGATTTGAGGAGGTCATCATACGACGATGTCGTATTGGCCACACAAGATATACTCATGAGTACCTATTGAAAGGTGAGGATCCTCCGATTTTGTATCCCTTTGTGATGAAAGAATCACGGTCAAGCATGTCCTGCTTGACTGTGTTGAATATTCCATCACAAGGGATATCTATTTCAATGTCAAAACTTTGAAGGATCTTTTTTTTTTATAATGTTAATTATCATTTAATCATTGAATTTTTAAAAGAATTAGATTTGCTTACTGATCTGTAAATAGTTAAATATTTTATTGTTGGTAGTTTAGATTAATAACTGAGATTGTTAGTGGCTGTGCCCTCAAAGGGGTTGAAGTACTGTAAAATTATTGTCCTCCTGAGAGGGCAATGTAAGTCCCAAAGCATTCAAAGTAAATTTAAATCTACTGTTATTTTAATCGTAGAATATTTGTTCTTTTAATTTGTGGCTTGAATATCTAAAATTGCTAATAGCTGAGGGATGGTGTAAATCCAGCTAGGGTCCATGCAGGAAGCAAAAGTACTGTAGGTCCCCATGGTCCCTAGTATGGTGATCTACCTTCAGTCGTTAGCAATCTATAGCCCGGTTTTATATTGTATTGTCAAATATAGTTAAACTGTTTTAGATATAATTACTAGTTTTTAAATTATTCTTTGTGATAATCTAGTTATTTTACTGTCCTTCGTAGGCAGGCTTTTATAATTTACTATTACTTACTATGTGTACCAATTAATTGTTCTCGTCACGATATGGCTGAAATATTGCCGATGTGACGATAAATTTTAACTCACTCACTCACTCACTCACTGTAGATACCCACTCTGCTGCTGCTGCATGAAGTGATGTGTCACCTGTATTATTCTGTACATTAACATCAGCTCCAACCTTCAGTAATACATCGACACACTCTGTAAATCCCATTCCTGCTGCTCTATGAAGTGGTGTGTCACCTGTATTATTCTGTACATTAACATCAGCCTCAGCCTTCACTTACACATCAATACACCGTGTAGATCCCCGTCTTGCTGCTCTATGAAGTGGTGTGTCACCTGTAACATTTGAAGCTTGATTGACACTTGCTCCTTTCGTCAGCAAACACGAGACAACTGTTGGCTTTCCGTCACATGAACTGAGTAGAGGAGTGTCTCCATTAGGTAACACTGTATTAACAGTAGCACCATTCTCAAACAGCATCTCGACTATATTCCCGTTACCGACCACACAAGCTCTGCACACAACACTGCCGTCAATCACTGCTCCTCTGTCTAGAAAATAACGTACCACGTTCGTGTTTAGGCTACTAGCAGCACATGCAAGACCTTTCTGGTTATCTATATCACATCCTCTGTTAACCAACAGTTTCACAATCTCTAAATGGCCTTCCTCTATGGCATGGTATACAGTGTGTCCAACTGACCCATGATCCTGATTAACTTCCACTCCCATGTCAATTGCATGGGCCACAGCTGATGTGAGGCCACTTTCACAAAGATAATAAAACGTACTTTGACCGAACTGGTCTCTTGCATTCAGGTCAGGATGAAGAGATATAATCTGATTGACAAACACACTGTCCCTGGTTTTTGCTGCCAACATGAGCGGCGTCACCTTTCTCCTACCGTATCTAGCATTTACGTCAAGTTCCATATGCCCACTGATATATTTCAGTACACTGCAGGCAGCATTCCTGCACACACCCAGTAAAAGGTCCCTTCCTTCACTCTGGGTGAATGAGATATTTTCTGTCTCCATAATATATTTGATGAGATGATCTGACTTGCTGCTAGACAGTACTTCACAAAATGACTGCTTTGATAAGTTATCAGTTAGTTTCACAATATCAGATGCACGCATGTGAAACCGGGTCTTCAGGCAGTCCATTAGCAAGCCAACAAAGTCTGCATTACAAAATGCCTGGTGTGATAAAACATATAACAAATTGCTCCGTTCAATTTCAGATGCAAATCTTCTTGCTAAATGTCCAGCATACGTCCACGAGATGTTTGCAACCACGCCTGTCTCACAGGCAACTGTTTTCTTTTCTATGGAGGGTGCAAGACGAAGTCGTTGATTTATAAAGGACAAACTACAATTTTCGATGACAAACTTCGATAGCTTTGTACTGAGAATAAAGGAAACACTGTCATATATAGACGGATGATCAAACACGAAGGTGTCACCTTCCTTCTTGAGGTAAGATCCAACCATATCATCAGCAGCTGTTCTGCCTTCATAACCGAGGCTATCATCCTCCTCCAAGTCTTGTCCACTAATCTTCCCATCTCTTTTAATCATAGCCATGAACAGAGAACGCTTTATCGCATCTTTAACAAAGTTCTCCAGAGTCATTCTGAGGAAATCCAGTGGTGCTTGTAAAAACATCTGCGTTTGAAGTGGAGTCCAATCCTTTTCATATGCTGCGACACACATTTTACAGACATGGGGGAAGCCGTGTGGGCAGTCTGTCTCACATATCCGAAACACAGTTGAGTCATAAAAGTGTATGCTTTTTGTTCCAGCATGAACACGCCATATCTGCCTTCGCTCATAAGAGCCTCTCTTTGAGGAAACTTCCACCAAGTACTGGGGACTAGAATGTAATCTGCCATCCTTCCCAAGTCTGCCAATGAGGAATTCAGCACATAGTCACGGCCTACGAGGATAATGACAGTTTTGTCTTTGTTTGGACTTTTCACCTGTGTTTGACCAACTTTTGTCCCCACTAGAACCTTTTCAGGTTTGGTAGAAATATCCAAAGCATCTTTGTCAGCATATTTGTCAGGATGCTTAACATCCAGAATAGGTCGAAGACTTGGTCTCCACCTGGTCCATTGTGCAGCGTCGAAGTCCAGATCACCAAATATATCATCCAACATAATGACAGGATTAGCGCAGGCCGTTATCACCTCATTGAACTCCTCTGGTGACACCACTTGGTATACTTGTCTCCCTTGACTGTCCTGATCTTTGAGAGCCATGTAGGCTGTTGTGGACTTACCCTCTCCTGGTCTTCCTTTAATTGTCACCCAGGTCGCTCCTCTGTCCAGCTTCTCTTTGACTTTCTTGAGGGCGTCTGTCTCCACCATGTCTTCAGTCCATGACTGTATCCTGGATGCCGTCCTTTCTGTGGAAACGAGGCACATTTAAAACACATTTCACTAAAATATGTGTAAAAGTTAACAAACTTAGGATTTAAACATCTTGCTCCAGAAAAGGGCTTCACACATTGTCCCCATATTGGGAATCGAACCCGAGTCTTCTGCAGGACGAGCAAACACTTTAACCGTCAATATAGTATCTCAAAATACTGATACGAATCTTAAAAAGATCACACCCAAATTGCGGGCATTTGTTAAAATAGCAGACGACAGAATTGTGTAAAGAATAAACAAGCGTACGATGTCATGCGCAAGGCAATGCAAATAACAAGACGGAGCCAATAACGAGTCGGATAACCTATCAAATTGAGAATATCTCACCAAAACTGAAGCCCAACAAAGTCACGCCTCGAGGAACGTGCCAGATAGAGAGATGTAGATAGATATCGTCCATTCAACGTCCAAAGAAATACTATTTGGTACTTAAGGCGACGTTTTTCTAGCAAAACAGTCAATATATAGACTGCGGCCGTATTAGTTACCCACCAGTAACAACCCCACGTCAAGACCAATGAAGTTGAACCGTGAAGTTGACACGGGGTCAGCCAGCAACCCTTTTAGTTTGTACCGATACCTGCCAATACTGGAGCATCTATGATAACAGTTTGACGACATCCACGCGCCTACGGCCTCCGTGCAAGGTGAGCAGCCTGATGACCAGTTAAACATGTTGCTCGAGTTGACCAGCAGTATCCTAATCAGCGCAATGTTAAAGTGTTATCCTGGCCAGCGATATCCTCGAATTTGTTCCCATTGAACACACTTGGAGTTGTGGTGTGTGGTCCTGTGCGTAGAGCTCAGGTCACGAATCAGTCATGCTCTGAGAGTCCTTGGATGGGTGGCCGTGTTTGGCAGCTTGACTCCTGAGAGTTTCTTGGACATCAGTCCTGATACATGTGGTTTCACCTTAGGAAGGTGAAATTGTTCAAAATTGCCTTTGTTCACCCAGCAGAAGATGGGTACTCGGTTGGATAAAGTCATGTGACTATAACCTTCTAGCGCCTAACAGGCAGCTTGGGCTATCCGGGGTAATGATAATCAGATTCTCAGTGAGCAACTAGTCAGATGGATACTAGGCGCTACATACATGAATTATTATCATTATTATGATTATGAATCAACGTTCTCGACGTCATACGAATCCTCCAGGGAACACCGCCAAATCCTTCCTCGAAATGACACTTAAGAACGTTGAGTGGCATCAGTGATGCAATGGTGCCAGATCTACATCAATGCACAAGGTGGACCCACTCGTTATAGACACTGTGAACATCCGTCAGTATCCCCGTTTGTGCTATGGCACATTTGCATATGCCATGTTCGATGCGCTAATTGACTTTTGAGCATTGCCACTCATCAATAATGTTTGTCTTATTCAGAACTTTTGACCTTTGAGTCTATTAATCTTGTCACTAAGTTGTGAAACGCTGATGATGTACTCACCACATGTTTTTTTTTCAATCTAATTTCATACTAATTTCACAGACAGGCAATCGTTTGATCAGGTTGATGTCTGAATAATATTGAGAAATAAAACCTTTCCTGGCCTTTACATATTTGTGTTTAGTCAGTGTTAATTTCTGTCTTAGTAACTGAATATAAGTTAAACAACCTTTTTCTTTTTACACTTGGAAGTGTTGCTCCAGTTAGCACACTTTTATTCCAAGCGGCTCACTAAAATACCCGTTTCATTGGTCACATCTCATTAGTCACGAGTTACGACAAACATGTGTTATTGAAGACCAGATCTATACCTAACTGATCTTTAAGGTTAAAATGATTGAAACAAATTCAGCTTATCCAGTGATACGTTACCCTTGCAGGCGTGTACTCAGATTTTATCTTCCAAAACCGTGTTCTACTGTAGATATTGTGTGAGATCAGATACAGATTTAGATTCTTTTTTTACTTTTATCTTTACAGACAATCGGTAATACATACAAACACGAAACTTGGTACAGGTGGATGACTAGATATTGAGTATAGTGTATAGAAAATTACTATTTATTATTTAGCAATCATTTCATTTCTGAGACAGCAGGCTTTCTACGAATATTTACCTAAATTGCATAACTGTTTTCCATTTCTAACACTTAAAACTTGAAAAAGTTTATGCATTGATGGACATCTGTAGTAAGATGGTCTTATATATAATATTCTATAGTTATTAAAATATGGGCATGCTAATAATAAAAGGAACTCGTCTTCAATATCGTCTTCACAAAAAACATATTTTCTTTCTTCTATATTAACATTACGATATCTTCCAGGAGATATCATGTTGACCGTAGATTTGTACAATGCCCTGACGTCATCAGTTACATGACTCATAATGCTATGATATCAAAAACCTGATGACATCACAAAGCTATGACATCGCTGCACTGAAAGTCTAATGGAAGTACCGTGTTCAGAGACGTTATTGAAAACTAATAACGAGTGATTTTTGAAAATAAATAGAATCTCACTTATCATGTATATCAACAGTCGTTGATAGAAGCAAACTGTCCTCGGCAAGCCTGAGCTATTTGTAACATTTTCAACTTGTGTTGATATTATCGATATCAAGTAGACACTTGGGTGAGATTCTCTATTTAATGGTCCGGGATTAAACTCTACACTGTCACCATTTGTGTACAATCATTGAAAACATGTTTGTCAAATAACTCAACCCTGATCTTCTGTGCTGCAGTCAGTGGTATCTCTTCCTCTTTGTTGGTCGGAGTTGTACCGAGCATTCTGAGTTCCGCCAATGTTCAGATTCTCAAAAGCCCTTCACTGGTCACATCTCCAAACTTCTGCTGTACTTTGTATAAGGTTGTACTGCATGACTGTAACAGAAACCACATGACTGAAGCTCGTCATAGATGTGTTACATATGACCGATATTACTTGATAAATTTTGATTGATATGTTTTGTGTATGGATTTTATTTTGTTATGGGTAGTTTAAATTAGCAACTTATACTCCCCATCAAAGTAAAGACTCACTAGTGTAAATGTAGCCACTTACTTCATTCAACTCTCCTGAACTAGATTTTGTAAAATAATCCATAGAGATTTAAAGGTACTGTCTATACATGAGCCGATGTATTGTAAAACAAATTCGGGACGTTGAAAATTTCTTATTGTCATTTGTTCAATAAATGATGAAATCCTCGGTGAGAAATGGCGATTTTTATCAAACCTCACATCAAACGCAGTTGGTTAACATGCACGATATTTGCACATGCTTTTCAGCAATTTGATGCATTATCCTCGTGCAATTAATCTGCAAAATGCATATGTACATACATAGCATATAGTTATTGATTTAAGCAAGTCTAAACTTTTGATGGGTAGTATAGATTGTTAGTGGCTGTATCCTCACAGGGGGTTGAAGTATTGTAAAATTATTGTCCCTCCTGTGGGTAACGTAAGTCCCAAAACATTCAAGTACACATTTATACTTACCAGGGATTTTAAAGTAGTATTTTTGTAATTTTAAATTATGGCTAGATTTCAATACAATCACCAGTCGCTGAAGGATGGCGCAAATCCAGCTAGGTCCACAGGTAGCAAAGGCACCGTTAGACTGACCTTACGGTCCTAGTATAGAGATCTACTTCAGTTGCTTGATGATCTATAGCTCATTTTACATTGTATTGTCCAAAACTAGTTTTCTACTTTTAAAGATATATGTTAGCTAGTTTAAGTCATTTCCTAGGATAATCGAGTAATTTTACTATCCTTTGTTGACAGGGTTTTATATATTTTATGCATGTATTATGAATTTAGAACTAGTTTTAGCCAGCCGATATGGCTTGAAATATTGCCGATGTGACTCTCCGTCACACATATTATAGATATCGTTGGTGATTTTGAAAAAGTGGTACCATCAACATTCAAATGAGTGATTACCAAGTACACATTGCTTCTATAAAACTGAATTGAGTATGAAAAACATTTGTGCTGAGGGTAAACACACTTCCATGGTTAGGTACACCCCTGCGAAACATTCAAAGCATCAGCATGTTAACTCCATAGTTAAAGGGATAACAAATTGAATGACAGAGTGCTTGACCTAAATAATCAGTCTTGTGCTTGGCCGCATGCCTAGGACACATACAGACGTTAAGCTAACACATGTCAAACTTTGCATCAGCAATACTGCTGCATCAACGAATGTTTAAAATGGGTTGAAAAAGGTATCCCTGAGCTCTAATGTAACAAATGAGTGACAAAAGCAAATCTATACGTGACTGTCACAGTGTTTGGGACCTTGAATTCCCGGAAACGTTCTCCATTGTGAAAATAACCAAACATTCAGGTGTACCTTAAATAAAAGGCATAATCCTTTTAGTACATATATCTGAAAATGTTATATTGTGGTTTTACCTAATTTATCGAGTCACAA